AGACAATGAGAACCGTAAGACCCGATTGGTAGAGGTGGAGAAGAATCGCCAACTTCGGTTGAAATTGTAGCGAAGGGATCCCACTGTACGCCGTACAGACCATTTATAGGGAAATGCCGTAATCGGCTGTGGCAAACAATTCGGGTTGACTGACGACGACTATGGGCTGCGATGGCGGCAGCCTCTTGAGAAGGCGGAGGAATGTAGACAAGGCAGACAAGTCGTGGAAACCACGTTGTGTCCCGTTGTGTGGCACCGAAATAGGTGGGCCAGGGGGTTGGGATTGGCTGGGATTTGGACTCGTTGATGAGAAACCCAGGCTCTTGGAGACTCAGCGGGTCTGACAGACTGCGCAAGCCGTTGATATCCACTATTCACTGATGATGAAACCATCGTCGAGGTTTATCAACATCTATAGACCTTGACGATGGAGGGTACTGGCTAGTGTCTTCATATTTCTGGTGAAGACTCCGAGTCTGGCAGGCGTGTGTGTCCGATGAGGGGCACTCGTGAACCCGAGGCAGTAGCTGAGTGAGACGATGTCGAGTACCCACCGGGCTGAAGTGATTTGGTCCAAGGAACCGGTCGAAATGGGTCAAACGGGTTCTCACAGATTCTGTGATGGGTGGCCCATTGTCTGTGGGCATATATTATTTACTTCCGCCAGCCGAACCATGGCTGAAAGGCGGTGGTAGAGGCTGAAGGACAGAAGTTGGCCCGTGGATTTGCAGGGCATTGAGCAGTGGAATGAAAACCACTGCTTGGCGGCTGTGGACGACTGGGAAGACAGTTTTGGATGAACCTTCGTCAAAGTGATCTTCTTCGTAGTAGTCTGAAACTGGTTGGTAAAGAGGGGTCGCCCTTGGAAAGGAAGGGACTCGAGACATTTGGAGGGCTGAAATTTGACATCAAAATATTTATCATGCACGTCGTCAGCAACGATAGGTTGTTTCGTCTGCCGGGAAGGAGTACAAACTCGATCGAAAAGGAGGCTGACACAGTTTGGATTGGTCGAACACCAACTGGATGAACAAACCCGATCGAAAGAAACCACTGGGGTGGGATCGGGTGTGACTAGTGAGTCAGGAGCTGTTGTCATTTAAATGATCTCGGTTGTGTAGTAGGTGTAGGGTTCACAGAACCCCAATACGTGCGCCATGTCTCGTTGTACCAGGCAATAAAGCGTGGTCATTTATTTATTTATTTATTTATTTCGTGTTATTTTACCAGGGTAGCCCCATCAGTTGTCAATGAACTGTTCTCCCTGGGGGCCCTGGTCATGGAGGCTGGCATAGTTGTGTCCTATTGTTCGGCCTAACGAGGTGACAGGGAAGAGAAAAACATCTTAGTCGTGGGCCGGAGTTTCAGACGGCAAGTCCGTAGGAGCGCCGAGAGAACTAGGGGCAAATACTAACACGACTGGAGCATCCGGAGGACGGAAAACGTGTGGGGTATGTTAGAGTTTTGGGCCAGTCGAGGCTGAGAAGGAGACAGGCCTTCTACTTCTGAGAAGAATCAGTGTCAGATTGTGGAGGGACCCCAGAGGCAGCAGGGAACTCTGTTGTATAATGAACCACTCAAGCCCGGTTCATACTCTGCGCGAAAACGAAAGCGAACGCGAATTTGTGACGTCGTGGCAAGTATTCGCACTGCGAATTCGTAAAAGTTGAACATATTGCAACTCAATATTTCAATTTCGCTTCGCATTCGCTTTCGCATGAAGTATGAACCGGGCTTCAGAGAAACCAAGGGCTGGGGTGAGCAAAGTTGAATCACCGCCCGGGCAGGCGGGGCCCTGGCACCGGGGATTGCCGGGCCATAGATATGGCCGACGATGCTGGTGGAGTAGCGGTGGACACGGTCGCTTGGCCGTCGGTCTCCCCACGGACGGCACCTGGCCGAGTCTTTGAGGTGTTACTGAGTTTGGAAATCACCGAAGAGTATTGCTTTGGGGGCCCAGTGGATGACATAATTTCAGAACGGGGGAAAAGCCCTTATAAACTGATTGGTAAAAAAACAGACGTTACCCTCAGTAGTCATGACGTCCGGAACGATAGTGTGGGGGCCGGTACAATCTTGGAGCGGCCAGAAAACTAGTTTGTAAAAGAGCGATAGGCCTATCAAATGGAGGATGTATCGCTCTAGTGCTCTAGTATAAATTAACAGAACAGAATAAGATGCTTGAAGCGTCACACCATGTAAATGTGAGATAACAAAATCGCCGGTTAAATACATGTAACGGCTTTTGTTTTGAAGGTGAAGCACCAAGTTTTCGGTGCAGCGTGAGGGATTTGCTGGCCGTGAAATATCATGCTAACTGTTAAAGGCAAAAGCACCGAATAATCAGTGCAGCATGAGGGATTTGCTAAAAGAAAAAAATCATGCTGACTGGTCCGTAAGGCGTGCGTTGGAGTTAACAACTTGCAGTCAATGTTGAGAAGTCTCACACATTGGTCAACACAGCCATGAGATGAAACTGCCGGTAAAAATAACGGCATTCGTTTTGAAGATGAAAGCACCGAAAATTTGGTGCAGCGTGAGGGATTTGCTAAGTAGCGAAATATCACGCTGACTGGTCGGCAAGTTGTGGAGTCAGATTTCACAACTTGCAGTCAAATTTTGCGAAGTCTTGCACGTTGGTTCAAAAATCACGGCGTTTGTTTTGAAGGCAAAAGTACCGAAAATTGGGTGCGGCGTGAGGGATTTGCTAAGTAGCGAAATATTACGCTGACTGGTCAGTAAGTTGTGGCATAGGAGGTAACAACTTGCAGTCGATTGTGTGAAGTCTCGCATGTTGGTCAATACAGCTATGAATGAGATAACGAAACTGCCGGTAAAAATAACAGCGTTCGTTCTGATGGCAAAAACACTGAAAATTTGGTGCAGCGTGAGGGATTTGCTAACAGCGAAATATCATGCTGACTGGTCGGTAAGTTGTGGTGTAGCAGTTAACAACTTTTCGTCAATGCGAAGTCTCGCGCGTTGATCAATATACGGCTATGAGAAAATGAAACTGCCGGTTAAATAACAGTGTTTGTTTTGAAGGTGAAAGCACTGAACGTGTTCGGTGCAGCGTGAGGGAGTTGCTTAGTAGCGAAATATCACGCTGATGGGTCGGTAACTTAGTAGCGTAGCTAAGGGGTGAGCGGCTTGCAACTAGTGTGACACTCGCCCCATGCAAACTCTCACTCTATCGGTACAGCAACACAGATGTGAGACAATGAAAGCTGCCGGATAAATAACAGCGAATCGCTGGTGAATAGCGGCGTTCGTGTGGAAGATGAAAACAACGAGTAGTTGGTGCAGCGTGAGGGATTTGCTAAAAGTGAAATATCACGCTGATGGGTCAGTAACTTGTAGGGTAGGTAAGGGGTGAGTGGGTTGCAACTCGTTCGACACTTGCCCTGTGTAAAGTCTCACTCGTTTGGTACAGCAACACTGTTGTGAGATAACAAAAACTCCCAGTTAAATAACAGGGTATTGCTGGGTAAATAACGGCATTCATTTTGGAGACGAAGACACCAAACATTCGGTGGAACATGAGGGATTGGCTTAAGAGCGAAAATCACGCTGATGGGTCGGTATGTTGATGTGTAGATTCGGGTGAGCGGCTTGCAATGCGTGCGTTGCTCCCCCATGCAAAGCCTTGTCCGTTCGGTACGGCGTGATTGACTTTTAGCCCGAAAGCCTCACGGTCGATTAGTCGTGCCGTACAAGCGTATACTAGTGACACATATGTTCATCCCTTCCACTTAGTTTGTGCGCATGCGCCAAAATCTCGGCTAATGCCAGTGACTGTCGAAATGGCAGCGCCGCGGAGAGGAAAGACACACCAATTTTCATCTGAAAACATCCTGCTCATTTTGCTAGATTAAGTGAAATACATGATACCAGATGAAATTCAATGAGTTTATTTTAATTTTATTCACCTTATCTTTGTGATAAAACATCGACATTTTCAAGAAAATGTTGTTTTAGATCATTGTTTGCTTTCCAATTCCATGCAATCATCGGCAAAAAGGGCCAACTTAAGTTGGGATTTTAAAATTTTTCTTCACTTTCCCCAAACATGCCACTTATCACAGCATTTGAATGAGATATTAAAACATATTATTACATGATTTGCGAGTTATTGCGAATAGGTTTGCATTCCTTAGGTGGGTATTGTTTTTGTAGTTTCCGACTGTGCGTTTACATGTACGAACCGCGCGCCATCAAAAACGATGTCACCGTGCATGGACGGCCAATTTTTTTAAAAATTGGATTGTTTCTCGCAGGGTTTGAAGAATTTTCTCTTAAAATCTTTTTTTCAGACTTATTTTTATATTTGGACAATCTCAGCTCATAACATGATTGTAAAATTCATATTAAATGTTCTCAGAAATTTTCACGAGTTTAGGTCACCTGTAACTTGTGAAAATTATGTGATATTGTTTTCGGCTGATCAACGGGTGCGGAATGGTGCCATCTGTACGATTTCAGAATCTTTTGGTCCTGTATGCATGCGCGAAAAAAAAAAAATTGCAATGTACTGTGGGTAATAAATCTTAGCGAATGGCTAGCGCCCTCTAGGGAATAATGAATTATGTAGTAATACTCTACAGGTAAGTAGAGCGCAGTAGAATTGATACACCAATGAAGCACGTATTAAACAAGCATGTTCTTCCACTCATCTGATGAAAACAAGAGTTACTAAAATTGATCCTTTCTATCAAAAGTTATGCATATTTTACCAACACAGAACCTAGTTTTGTCGTTTTCCTCAGCAGGTTTTTGTTAATTGTATTAAAAGGGTATTCATCAATGCATATCGATAAATGATCAGTGGTGGACAGCTGAGTTTTGTAGTATCAGAGATGAAACTGGCACTAGCAAAAAGAATCGGAAATTTCGCCGAACCAAAATTTAGCATAAAGGTAAATGAACAACAAGACCATATTAATAAAAAAAAAATTAATTCAAAATATTTTTAAAAATTGATAAATCAAAAAGCATTTTACCTGTCTGCTGGCTTGTGACTTGAGCACTTTAAGTAAGTCTTGTGAGAATCGTTTGATCTGTGTACGGTGGGTCAGGGTCAGTAGTTTATTCTCAGTCATCCCAAGTACCTGTATATGTATATATGTAAGGTCATTCCAGTCATTATTCTTTAAAGTACTAACTGTAATGCCAATAAGAAATTAGTGAGTTCAATCCATATTTAACTACAAATGTGAAAGTGCAAAATATACCACACAGTAGGGAACATTTTGACTGTGTGCTATCTAACAGCTGTATGGTGGGTACCCTAACTTCCTTAAATTCTGTTTGTAAAATTAAATGCACATCAAAAAAGGGAATTTCAAAGAATCAATAACCTAAAAGCAACAAGACCAACTGCAGAGAAATTCTGGGTTGTGTTCACTGTATTCTATTTACTCACAAGGCATTAAGCAGGCACAAACCATTCCTAAACATGGGGATCCAAGGGTGTGATTGGGATGGCTAACCACCCCTCCACACCAATGCTAATTATCAATCTAATTGAAAAAAATCCAAAATGTCCTTATGTTCCCTGAAAAACATCATCACTCAATGTTGCAAATCTTTATGCATTGCTCAAGGCCTTTGGTCTTTTTATACACTGACTGTAATGCCTCACCAATCCCTCCCCCTTTAACCACCTTGAAACAGCTTGGAGTTTAAGACCCCAGCCACCTGCCTAAGCAATACAAATCCTGGATGCACCACTGCTAAGAGCCTCACTTAGATACCTGAAGCAACTATGCTGCCTGTTCCTTTACAACAGATACAGCCATTAGAGGCTATCATCTGTTAAAAAAAAAGTCCAATGAAATAAACTAGAGGTTCGCGTTTGTTCAGTTACAAACGCAGAGTGGTCGGGCAGACAACTATTTCATTAGACACTGCCCATTTAAGTTATGAATATGTTATGTCAGAACAAAGGATCACGAACTTTAACCTTTCCAGTACAACCAATTATTTTGTAAAAAAAAAAAACATCTTTTGATGTCATCATGACGTCAGAGTAATATGCACCACTAGGGATGAGGGTCGATATATGTTGAAAGTTACAAGTTCATACCATATACCGTTTAGGAGAAAACCCGCCAAGAATTATTGTCCGGAAAAACAAAAAGAAGAAAAGAAAGAAAGATTTATCAGAACAATTCTAAACAGTGGTCGGGTTGTGCCCGACCACTCAATGAAAAGATATCATTCCGTGTCAATTCAACACAATTTTCAGTCAAATCGGGCATGTTTTCAGAAAAGTGGGGGTAGTATTCAAAATCGTGGCTAAGGTATTGTTGAGAAGAATAATTAGTCTTCCAAATGCTTTTTAGTTGGTTTCATTACGATGTTTTGTTCAAAAGATACAGCAATCACAATACGGGACTTGAAAAACCACTTGGGTCACTTTTTTTATTTATCAAATTTACGGATCGAGGCCGGTAGAATAAGTCACACTTTACTCCTGAACAAAGGAAATCAATCCTTTGTGTGTTTCTCTAACTGCGCTTTCTCACTTTCAAGAAAAGTGGCCCAAGAAAATGTTTTTTCAACCCTTAAGTTCGATGAAGCATAGCGTTTGTTCCAATGGATCGATTTTAATGAAATAAAGTTGGTATGGTAGATTGGTTATCCAATTTTTAAGAGGTTAACTTGAAAATATTCCAAAACCCACATGCAATATACCTTTATTAATTGGTTTTCGACTGTTAGTTTTTTGTGGGACAACCTGTATTTGGTGTAGTGATTGGCCTAAAGAAACCTGCAGAACTGATTTTCTTTTGTAATTTAACTGGTTAGTTTTTGAGATACGGGTCAACCGACCTTTGACTAATTAGCATGACCTCTACACTTAAATACATGCATCTCCACAAGTAAGCACCTGCAGAGCCAAGTTTTATATAATTTTAAAGCTCTTTGAATGGCCTCCATTTCATAAAATAAAACAAAAATCATAGCATGATACACAGAGAAAACACATAATGAAATAATCTCTGACCTTGAATGACCAAAATAAGTATGCTTCACATTTCCTATTTTTTAACTTCCAAATGCTATTTATTATTTTTTTTAAAAAGGGGCCACCGGGCCACCAGCTACAGGGTTAACCTGACTTTTGCCTGACCATGGGCATGGGTTGACATCTTGATTCCCCATAGTATTGTCATGAACAGCCCAAAACATGGGCATGTTGACCATTTTTCACTCCCGATGGACAGCTGGGTTCCCTGGTCTAACGTTAAAGATCAGACGGCCAAAGTGGATGACATCAACAAGGCTCAAAGCAATTGTTGTTCCTCCCACACCAATTAATATTGGCATTCTTTAGACATGGCCGTTACACTACCCTGATAATGTGGCTGAAAAATTTTCTCCTGGATAATTTTTCTCACTGTTTTGAACTGAGTTACGACGGTCCACGTGTAAGTAGGGATGCAGGCTGATTATCTTCAGCTTTGCAGTGGCCACTTGTGGTTAAAGAGATCTTGCACAAAGAAATCAACTTAGGCAGGATTGACCGCACCTTTGCTCCCACACTCAAATTTTCAATGTTCGCATATTGGTTTTGTACCAAAACATGAGCCTAATTCCTTTAGATTAATCTAACATTTATCCTTTCCATCAAGAGGCTCAATCAATGATTTTATTGACAGAGATAAATAAGCCATTCACTACTTCCCATTTGATAAGGCTTTTGAATTGGTTGAGGGGGCCAGGCCAGGGGCTTGGATGGCAAAATCAACATCAAATCTGTATTTTGCTTACTTTCCGTGTCCCCGTCGGATTATATACTTCTCGGTTTTCGGTTTAACAACTGATATTATGATAAATGCCTTCCAATGGGATGTTCAATTGCTTGTTCCCTTTTTGAGACTTTAAGTACTTCTTTTTGTTTCATGGTTGTTGTATGTCGCAGTCACATTTTATTACACACTATTTGGATGATTTTTCTATTTTTAGGTTGGACAGATCAGAATTGTAATTTCTTGCTTCAGACAATCAAGGAGTGTTTGGAGGTGCTAACTGCAGAAGAGACAAGAGGTTTGCGGACCGCATGTGTCGCCTTTTTCCGTGGTCAATCCCTATATGTTTTGTGTTTTAAAAAAACAAACATCTCAAATGGCCCCTAGATGACCTTTGACAACCAATTGGGAAGATTTGTGATGAACCCCCACCCAAGGGTCACTGCATCCAAGTTTCATCAAAATCCATGAAAGCATGTAGAACTTATAAAAAAAAATCTAAACTTTAACTTATGGGTCTACGGTCATACAGAATTTAGGACTGGTAAGTGTCTCACAAAAACTACAAGCCAAAGTCGGTCGATTGTTTCCTGGGAGTAGAAATAGACTCATAGGCAGGTTAGGGTACTAGATGGGAAAGTACAAGCACTGCGTGAAAAGATCACACAAGCACTGCGTGAAAAGATCACACAAACATTGTACAAGTCGAAGGTGTCCTTGCGGGCACTTCAATCATTGCTATAATCCCTTAATTTTGTGTGCCAGGCTATTGCTCCAGGTAGGGCACTTACTTGGAGGCTTATTGCACTATTTATAGTGGAAGGAAATATTACTATAAAATCCGTATTTTGACTGGGGCAAAATTTAACCTAATGATATGGTTTGAAATGACCATTTCAACAGAGTGTCCCAATTCCGAAATGGTAATTGGGATGACAACAAATCACTTAAGCTGTTTATAGATGCAGCAGCGAGCATTGGATTAGGTGGTTTCTTTGTGGGCAAGTTGTTTCAGGGGAGATGGCCACAGACAATTACCCTCCCTCCATATGCCTTTCTGGAATTTTTTCCAAAAGTGGTGGCTGTCCATTGCTTGGGCCCATTTCTGGCCAACCGAAACGTTTGATTCCGTACAGATAATAGCACCGTAGTGCATATTGTTAATAACCAGACCTCCAGCTGTTACAAGATCATGCAGTTAAAGCAGAGCTTTGTGTGTCAGTGCCTCATGCACTATGTGGTGTTTAAGGCAGTTCATGTGTCAGGCATTTGTAGCAACATTGCGGATTCCCTATTCCCTATTTGACAACATTTCAGGTCATCTGTGGCCCCCCAGGCGGATCTCGCTATGACCACCATTCTGGAACAGCCAGTGGCGCACCCAGGATTTGGCTTTGGGGGGAGGGCTCACAATTTTGTTTTGGTCAATTTATTTTAAATTTAGTTAACTGAGAACAGCACTTCATATTCTAACAGGTGAGATAGGCCGGCTCTTGTCAGTAGCCTTGACCAGTATCTCCAACACTAACAATCCAAATTACCAAACAAAAATCAGTTCTGGGGTTTCTCATATACGCCAATCATCAAACCAAACATTGTTTCAATTTGTGAGGGTCGGGTGAAAAATTGTGTTAAAAAGACACGGAATGACCCTAACTTCTCTAACCAATTAGCACTTGTATTAGATAGTACTACATTGTATTTTCTTGATGAAATCGCAAACCATAGTTTGCTGGGGCAGTTTTGGGTGGTATAAGGAGTAACAGGCAGGGCAGTACTGGGACTAATGGGTATGGTACCTGCATCACGTGTGATATTGCATCAAAAAGTTCTATGAGCTTAAGAAAGCCATAGTCTGCTACACGGCACTGACGACCAAAGTGATGATGGTAGCTGGGAATGAACTTTGAGAAGGCCAGTCTGCATCTTGGAGTGTGTTTGAGAAGCTCAACTGCCTCCTTACTAAACTGGAATAACTGTGGAGGTAGCAAAGGAGTGCTGCTTCTGCTTCCTATTTTAAACAAATAAAGATCTCTACATTATATTTATGTTACATTAAATTTGAGTGCAAAAATCTAATACATTACAAAAGTAAGGGTTCCTGTCATTTTGATTTTGAACCCTGTAACTTTTGTTTGTATGTTTCAGGTCAGTCAACAGAAGTACACATTAATGTGATTTTGGTTAATTTAATCGGCAATCTCTTAAAATCAAGCATAATCTGTGGGTGTGGTGTTCTAATACAATCGACTGAACTAATGGTGTAGTAAAACTAGCCTCCCCCGGTGACCATGGAGCATTCACTTTCCCTTAGTTATGCCTTGGGAAAACATAATGACCCAGGAAACAAGCAACGACCGCACAAGCATACAAACACAAGCCCCAAGCAAGATAAACAAACAAACAAACAAGCACATAAAACGAGAACAAAACGGGGAAAAAAACAAGATTAAAAGAAGGGCCAACTGGATTGTGGATAAGGTTTAGCAAAGTCCCATCTGTACAACACTTAGGGTGATGTAGTTCACACCAGGAGTCAGCCAGTGTAACCTCAGTTTAGCCTCATGAAAGCGTTCAGACCAAAGATCAGGCTATCCACAACGTCTGCGGGCAGGGTGTCCCATAAACAGGGGAATCTGACAGAAAAATTCCTTTTCTGTCAAAATTTTTCGGTCAAAGATTCAAAACAAGTCAAAAATTGCGTTTTGAAGTTAGGACTATGAAATACTGAATCACTGGTAGTATTGCGCATGCCTACTTGAGGATTGTAAATGTTCAACCAATAAAACGGTAAAAAGGCACTGGATTTCATAGGAGCCCAATTTCATGTGGCACTGGAAAGTGTTTAAGACCAGCCAGCCGGTCTTTATCATCCGCTTAAGACCGGCCATGTGATGGGCTCTCAACCAATAGGAATGGGTAAACTGTCTTGGGTACTTATGAATTGTGCATAATGCACAGACACATATTGTATCGATGTTAAGTCAAGAGCATTTTTTATAAAGATACAGGAGGTTTATGAAAGCTTAAAATTTTGGTTAAATAGTGTGCATGTGTAAAGACTCCACGTTGAACTAGTGGTTGATTTGTGACGTAACTTACGCCTGTGTACTAATAGCAATGTGCGAACGTCTCTAGTCAAAGGTCTGGTCAAAATGTCATCGCAAAACTTCGGGTCCGGGCTCCCTGCTGTACGTTATGAATGCCCGCGGCTATTGGTAACCAGCGATGCAACCAGGCCCAGTAGGCTGGTTCCAAATAGTTGACTAGCGTAGTCAACCATCGTCGACCAGACAGAGTTTGGGCTAATTTTAGTCGAACTATGGTTAACCATTGGTCAACAATAGTTCTTGCGCGAACTTTCCCAGTGTTTACAAAGGGAGAGTTGATAGAGACCACTGGGAGGGACTCTTGAATGCTTTGCAGATGATGATGACGCCTGTGCAAATTCAGCACAAAATAAGTTGTGTGTACTTCTTGCCATATGCATACCAACCTCCCAATGAATTGCCATCTACTGTTCCTGCAGAGTTCATAAAATGACATTGCATAAATGATCATCACTGATCATGATCACAATAATGATCAATCAATGCACTACAGGAAAATCCAACAGTGCATCCTGCAAGGAAACTAGAGGTCTGTATCATAAATATAGCAGACATATATATATGACATAGTGACATTTTGTAGCCAATGATTCACAAAATGACTGTAAGTGGCCTGAATGTACATGTCAATGTCAAACAAACGGTCTGCCAGAAAAAACTCCACCAACCATGACATTGTGCTTTTTTTTCAAAGTGTGCTTTCACATGATGTTGTAAGCGTATGCCTGGCTAGAAAATATCGGTGGTAGGAAGTGCTCAAGGTTAAAAAATTGTAAGAAAAAGAGGGAGCAACAGCTTTTGGCCGGGGACAAAATTAGTACCAGTGCACTGAAGAGTGACTGTGAAAGTGTCTCTGAGTAAAAAATGTACCACAGTTTTGTGCTTCATGTTTGTGATTATAACCCTCTGCAACAAAATGGAACATACGTAGATATAATAAAAACTCTTTGAGTTTGTGATGTCACCATCTTTGCGTGGAAACTCAGCTATCAAATATTTGCACTATTCCATACCAGTTTCTGGCTGTGGTTTACTCTGTTCCCAACACACAGTTTTGAAGCCGTCTCGACTCACTCCTACTCGTACACCTTGGATACAGGTCAACAAGTGTTCCAAAGGTACTCCATTTTCAAAGTCCTCTGTTAATGTTGAGAATTCAGCAGCATAACAAACCATAAAACTGTGAAGACAAAAAATACACATACGAAATCAAGTACATGTATGTCAATTCTTGCAAAAGCTAATTTCACAACAACAGAGCAATTGTTCATACTCAAATCTGTAGCAAACGGAGTAGAGTCTTTGGCATGGGCTCTGGATAGCTACAAAATGTATACCTTATTTACTTTACAGTGTAATTGTTATTGCTTACATCCATCAGGGATAGCTGGCATTCTCCTTGTTTTCTTCGAAACTCATGGAGTACAGCAATATCAGCAACGCCTATCTTAGCATCCCATTTTTCTATTTGCTTGACCCAAATTATCAAAACTTGCACCATAAATATATCAACATTTTCCTTTCCATTAATGATGGGAAATTTAAGCCCTATACATGCATTGTCATGAGAGAGAAGATTTGTGCACCCAGTGTCAGCATGCTTGGGTGGAATTAGTGACCAGCCACCTTGTACATGCACCAGTGGAGGGCATTCAGAAATTCTTGCTGTGCAAATATAACAAATCTGAGTGTCTAATACTTGAAATGAATACATAAAAACGGAAAAATACACATCATCATCATGGCCCATCCCATCGTGAACGACAATGAAGACGGCGACTCTCACAGTCATCTAAGTACAGCTGTGTTGAGGTAGAGCAACCATTGTAGATAGCAGAGCGCCAATGGGAACGGTTGCTGGCAGTTGACTCCCAAGTAATGTTTGGTATCCCAAAAGCGGCGAGATCACATTTCAGGACATCTTTGTATCGCAGTCTGGGTCGGCACGTTTCACTGCATCCAGAGTTATATTGCTATCAAGCTCATGCAGGATTGGAAGTTGTGGCAGAGAGGTTAATGCATCAGGGCTCACTTCAGCTTCACTAGCATACAGAGAGCTGTAGTGCTCTGCCCACCGGTCAAGCCGTGCTGATGGATCAGTGAGGGTAACGCCAGAAGCAGACAGCAGTGGAGCACTCTTCTTTGGGGTAGGGCCGACGGCCTCTTTAATACCGTTGTAGAGGCCATAAAGGTCCCCTGAGTCAGCACAATGTTGGATGCGAGCACTGAGACCAGACCAGTAGTGACATAGGGCAGTTTGAGTAAGGCCTTGGACGTTACTCTTAGCAGCACGGAGTGCAGATGACGAGGAGCGGGTATGAAGCATGGTGACTTTCATTCTGGCTGCACGTTTGGCCTCAAGAGCTGGGAGCAGGATGTCAGCTCTATCACAAAACTAGTCGGGTTGTGTTCAAGTACGCCGACCAAAGGCAGTGAGAATGCAGTCCATGACTGTAAGCCTGGACCATGCGGGACTGGGATTGTTGGGTGTAGGGGATGAACTGACATGATCGGTGAGGAGCTCTTGGAACTTGGTGACGCGTGTGATGTCCCAAGTAGCGGAGGTATCAACTGCATTGGTTGGCTTCGGATGAGCTTGATGAAACTTTTTCGGTTGCATTCTGAGCTTGCAGCAGATAAAGGCCTGGTCAGTGTTGCAGTCTGAAGAGTGCATGCTACGGCTTTGATGAACATCTCGCAATTGCCCCTTCCTTACAATGATGTGGTCGAGTTGATGCCATCAGTGTGAGTGAGGATGCATCCAGGTGGCCTTGGAGCGAGGTGAACCTGCGAAGAATGTGCTTGTAAGACACAGGTCATGGCCGGCACAGCACTCAAGGAGACGTTGCCCATTATCGTTCATTTTGCCCAGGCCGTGAGGACCAATGACACCACTCTAAGACCTGAAATCAGATCCGATGCATGCATTGAAGTCTCCAGCGAGCACAATGCTATCCCCAGGTGGTATGCTACGCAAAATATTGTCAAGCAGTTGATAGAATTACTCCTTTTCCACAGAATCAGCCATCAGAGTTGAAGCGTATGCAGAGATGACAGTGACAAGGCCGCTACTGAGGCGAATCCGCATGGACATGAGTCGGGGAGAATGGGAAACAGGTTGTTGGATGCATGAGAGCAAAGAGTTCTGAATTGCAAGGCCAACTCCATGCATAGGTCTTGCATTGTCTGGGTAACCGCTCCAGAAGGAGAAGTTAGGGGCAGTTTCACGGGAAAGGTTGCAAAAAAGTCTCACGGGGGGTCAAAAATGAAACTTGTTGTATGGATACAACATGTTTATTTGTTGAAAGTACATACATAAAGGTACTAGAAAATGTTAAAGTCAAGGCTTAAACATTTTTTCGTTTCAATTTTAAGGCACTTTACACTTTACAGACCATAAAATTTGTCAAATAAAGGTAGGTATCATAAACTGCTAATTCCACATCTCAAACATGCTTAGAGTTGCTTTAAAATGATTGATAGTCATCACAGTAGTCATGTCTTGAATATTAATGCACTCTAGGCTATGAAAAATACCATGTTTTTTCATATACTGACGGAAAATTCAATTTTATAGCTCTCTTTTCCTTGAAACACAAACTTTCATTTCTGATTTACGGAAAACCATGCAGCCTGCTGATTATTTGCACTTTTGTCCAAAGGCTGTGTACATGGTAGAACAATTGGCAAAACAATTTGTGTATATAGTGTGCTGCGTTACAGAGTTACCATGGTCTTTATCATTGCTATGAAAAGGGTTTACTATGTTCAGGAAAGGACAACAATTTTAACAATTACTACATTCAGTCAAGTTTGATCTTATGAAGCAACATAATACAAGAAATATAACCATAAAACTAGAGTTGGGAGGCTATACATGTGTGAGGCAGATCAGTTTGTACCTTGTTATTGCTCCACCTAACTAAATTTACGTTCAGGAAAGGACAAAATATTTAACAATGCTTAGCATACCGGTACTGGTAGCACCATGCATTTCCTGAATGACAATAAAGTTAGTCTAGCTCTATGGTCTGAAGTAATGTCCATTCAAATGATTATAATTACTGCTGGTGAAAACATAACTTTGTATTGAGACACTGATACCGGTATACATGTATACATGTACATGTGCATGCCCCACAAAGAAATGCCTAGATAATTAAACTGTACCATCCAGTGAAAAAAAATTCAGTCAGCATGGTGCTTTTTACAAAATGGGATCTAAGGAATAGGCACATCAAGCCCAAAACAGTTTAAAGAATTTGTACACACGTACAGTACATGTTTGCACGGAGGAAGGTTCATGTGTATCTGTACTTGTTCCTTGTTAAATGTTTCAAACATGTTCAGGAAAGGACACACATTTTAACAAGGATCAACATACAAGTTGTGCATGATCAGTGCATAAGCTTGACTGTTCCATTTTTCATAGCAATTAAACTAATGAAATGGCTGCACACAGAAAGAATTGTTAAAACAGTGCGGTACAATGTATAACAGATGTTGTTAAACTTGTTTAAAAAAGTGTCCTATCCTGAACACTTGAATACACAGAAACTAGACTAAAACAGTAATTTTTTATTACATTTACTCAAACTAATGTGTGTATTTTGTGGAAGGGATGGTTTGAAACTGTAAATTAGCCAATTCCTGACAAATATTGGATTTAAGTGTGACTTGTAAAGATAAATGTATATGCACATGTTTACTCATTGTGTGTGTAATCATGAGTGAGTAAATGACCTGTAAGAACAAAACGTTAACACTTTCTTGCCATTTAGTTGGTTTTAATTTTAGAACATAAACTTTACAGACAATATAAGCATAAACTTCATCAAATTTCTGCAACAATGGTTTTGCCAAGTACTCTGTTAAACTATATGTTCAGGAAAGGACAATGCAGTTTAACGACAATGTCATGACAGCAAGCAAGGTTCGAGTCTGATTCTTTTTGTAGTCTGTTAAATCTAGTAAGTACACCCCTAGGTACATGTTTATGTCAAAAAAGTTTTATCTCTGAATTCCTGTAAAAAAAGGGGGGCCATGTTCAGGAAAGGACATTTTTAACAAACATTTGCATGGCATATGCGACTGCTGCTGTATCAAATTTACTTGTGATTATCCAATTCCCATCTTTTTATACTTGAATACTGGAGTGTGTAGCATCATTTTGACAGGAAATAAGTTGTGTATTCTTTCTTTTAATTCTGGAAAAAAATACCATGTTCAGGAAAGGACATTTAAAAAAAAACATTTAACAAACATATCAATGTCTCACTCAAAACGGCATTACAAAAGAACGAGTTGGCCAATCCTAATGAAATTTGGTGTACATATTTTTGGGACATACTTCAATGTCCTTGCAAGTCTGGGTGGTTCCCATGGCATTTATTTTTAATTCTCATCAATTGCAGTTTCTAGAAAATGTGAATGAGACTCCAAATCTTGTGCTTTAGCACCCATGTGAGCTTATAATTTGAAAACCATAATGCGCAGAGCTGTAATTTTTTTTCTGGAGATTGCTACAACATTACAGTCCTTGTGAGACAAAAACCAGCAAATTCCAACAAAGTCTTCCTATGAAATAAAGCATCGATTTCCTATTTTTCATTTTGCAACCTTTCCCGTAAAACTGCCCTTAGCCTCGCGAGTCGAGCCACTACTGGTAAGCCAGGTCTCACTGAGAGCACAGACACTTATGCCCAGATGAGTAAGAGGTCGACCACCGCAGACTTTCTTGGGGAAGAAGTTTAGCGATATGTATGAATACTCAGGGAGTGAACATTCCAACAAGCTAACACAAGGGAGGCAGTAGCAGGATATCAACCCAGACGCGCCTGCCTGGAACACAACCCTTGCCGGGCATCGAAAGTCCCCAAAAAGGATGACATCCGATTTGCCAGTCGCTTATTCTAATTTAGACGTACAATCATGACTGTGAGGCGCCAAGCGCTGAGGCAAAAGTTATTGAGAGCGAATGCTTGCCCGGGACAATGAATGCCCGAGACCTTGCATTCATCTGAACCAGCAGAACGCACGGCATGACGGCTGGGATGAAAGAAGGCTGCCCCGCAGTGGCGAACTAACTACGCCTTATGACCAACAACCGTTGACTCCGAAGCAAGTTCCTCCACTTGACTGTCTGCTACAACATACCGGAGACACTTGCATGAAGAAAGTGACCATGCTGTGATTGCAGCTGCCAGCCCCTGAATCCACCTTACAGGTTCACTCATGTAGTTCAGCAGACCAGCCAAGGTCAGTATACTGGGGTGTGGCCACTGTCGTACATGAGCAGTTCCGTGGAGCCATACATGAGCTAGGATGCACTGTTGGAAGCAGAGGTTAGAGCCCCCATAAACATGGGGCGGCTGCCCATCGCCAAAGGTATTATCCATCCAGAAAACCCCAACACACACACACACACACACACACAAAAGCATCCAAAACAATTGCGGTTCACATTTCTTTATGCTGTTGATGATAAACAAGGTGGTTCCATGTACGTAACTCAACTCAACTCGACAATCAGTTGAAATTTTACAAATTGAGTGTGTCAAATAGAGCACTTTCAGCCGTGTGGTTGCAAAGGGCGATTTCTAAAGGTTACGTAACACTTTATATTGAATGAAACTACATGCACACAGACATGTTCACATTGGCGGGTGAAATCTTTGAACCTTAATTTCTCCCGTTTGGAAGACCATATCTCCAGGTGCGGATCGGGGGGGTGAAGGGGGGGGGGGGGGTGGGGGGGGTCGTTAAAAAGAAAAACCTAGCTCTGTCAACATTTTTTTTTTCATAGAAATTCATAAAAACAATTATGTGAACCCCCCCCCCCTCTCACACCCAAAACAAAATTTACTGGTATAATGTCCGCCTGTGCACAAAATACTGACAGAGCCAGCTTAATAGGGGGTATTTGTACACTATTCTGTAATATAGTGTTAATAATTGTCGAATTTGAAAAAAAACACAAAAAAAAAACACCATTATTTTATTTTACGGAGGCCAAGTGAAAAAAAGCTGTCTACATTTCAGATTTTTTTTTCTGATGAAACCCCTCCCCCCCCCCCCTTATTTCCCTTATAATGATCCAAGTATGTGCTAAAAATCGTTGTGATATGTTCATTACTTTTTGTTGAAATTGGAAAAATAGGCCTGGCTACGTGCACATTTTAAAGTTGTAACACTGGTGTTTGCAATATCTGTCAAACTTTTCAAGCCTCACGAATATTAATAAGGTTCCTATCCATTATCATCATCATCATCATTGGGCGGCCGCAGCCGAGATGGATGAAACCAAACTCCTCCAGACTCTCTTGTCCACCATGGCCGTGGTGATGTCATCAACGTGCTGGCTCACATCATTGCATACAGTGTCGACGTAGTTGAGGGGTCTCCTCCCTCTGTTGGGGCAAGGCAATCTCCAGCAGATGAGGTCAGAGACAACTTTGGCTCTGTAGCAGTGGCCGGCAGGCGGGCTTTGCGTTGTGCCACTGGTGTGCAGTAAAAATTTGCAGAAAAGCCTCCTTCACGAGTTATTACTTAATAAATATCACCCTTTCTGCCGGCTTCCGTTGGTCGATACCAAAACCAACGCCAAGTCACGCCAAGTGATGCTAATGAATATGCGCTTCTTCAGTGTGTTGCCGGGCCGAAATCAGTCAATCATAGTGCCTACGGTGCTATTGAATCTTTGCTGAAAACCATGCATGTGGTTTGGAAATTTTCCTTGGAGATAGTTCAAGGTGTAACACTAGCGTTTGCAACAACAGATTAAGCTGAAATTTGGAACATACTTAGATGATATAAAGTGTTCAACTACTCGTGAAATAACAACTTTCGGAAATTCCTAGAAACTGATATGAATACATAGATTTGGGGATGTTTTCGAACAATGTCTTCCTGACTTGAAGGTCAGCTTTACTAGTAACCAGTATTGAGGTTTCAGCATCGATGACGGCGATTTTTTTCACTGACATGAAGTTTAGAATTTCTTCTTCTGTTATAATTTAACTTTTCAATCATACTGAGCATATTTTCTGAGAAACAAAACATTTAAAAGGCCATGTTTTTTTCAGGTGCATGAATTTCACTGCTCTGTTATAGCGTCTAAGTAGGTAATTTGATTAACTTTGCTTATCAACGGGCCATGCTTCACCTTCGCAACCATGTGGCTGCTTTGGCATGGCTTGGCTGAATTTTGGAATAGGACACTGGGTCCTGCAATTTCTTATGCTTGCTGATAGTTAAAGATGTACGTCGCTTTGACATACCGATTGCTCCTGAACCTGATATGAAACATTGTTTGGAAAACAATTTCTAACCTTGCTGAACCAAACCTGAAACCCAACTCAAGGGTTAACTTGAAGCATTCAATGATAATCTGGTTAAAACAATCTGGTTATGTCATTAATTGAGGGGTAAATGCACAATTCAGTGTGAGTGATTGCAACATTAACTATGAAGGCATACAATTTGCCAAAAAAGTTGGGAAATTTAGCTGACTTGGATGAGTTTTTGAGAAACGACATGGTGACAACTAAAAATGGGCTGAGAGGATTGAGTTTTGATCAACGTAAATGTAAAGTTCGCTCTTCTTGGATTAGGAATTACTTTGAGTTTGATGCCATCACCAAAAATCCATTTTAATGCCTCTATTTTATATCTCACTTTTGCATTTCATAGTAATTTTTATATCAAATTACTTTTTTCTGTCGCACTGTACCTCTGTTGGAAATTGATAATGCTTATCATATTTTATTTTTGTTTACCAAATAAACGCGAGTTTCTAAAGTAACGTCTCCGCTCAGTAGAGCCCAGACTGTTTTAGGTCTTGTTTACACCCCAATTATCTTTTTTAGTCTTTGATACTGTAGGGTGGAACCCCTTGCTGCTTTGGTGGCCCACTTTTAGCCAACCAAAGTTCACAGTATTTTATAACAGTGCAGATTTATAAACAAAATCAAATACTTTGAATGTGTTGGAAGTTGAATATGTTAGTGTCATGGACTGGAAAAGGATACAGTATCCAATTGTATTTTGGCAATCCATAGGGCATGTAGTGTGGTGAGCAATGTAATAGTCTTATGTTAATGATAGCATAATTTTTCTCTGCATAAGTTTTCTCTGCCATATGTGAAGGGCTATATCTTCTACAAATGTGAATATATGTAACACACGGAACTACAAATTCAATCTCTCAGCTAAACTGTAAACCCTTTGGTGCAGAGAATATTTTGATAAGATGCAAAGATTATAATGTTCTTGAGTGGTTGCTATAGCGACCGCCTTGTACACTAGAAGTCTTAGTATTAATATCTGAATTGACAATCAAAAGTAAATGTGAATGTACTAAACTATAAGTACGGTACCTGATTAGTGGTATCTTTCCATTGTGCATTAGCAGCAGAGTGTGAACCTGAGAAGAAAATGTCCGGATGGACACGATGACAAATGGGTCTTGTGTCACATGTCTGTATTGCAGAGTGTCTTGACAATCATGGATGGAACAAAATGGTTCACATGGCTCTGGTAAAGGCTCCCTGTATAAATGAAAAGAATCACACCAGCTTCAGATGCAATAACCATATCTCACCAAATAATTTAAAATTTACTTCAATATGTTTGATTTTTGTTATTTAAAAAAAGAGACAACATATTTAATTTGATAACCACTGCTATATAATAAGGCAAGTTTTCTGTGTGCGCATGTAAGAACATGTTTTAATATACATTTGAGAACAACAAGAGAGAGAACAGATTTGCCGTCCTCTGAGATTTTTTTGTTAACTTACGTTTGTGTGCTTATATTACAGGACAGTGTTATAGTTTTGGAACAAAAAAAAATTAGTCACTGCTTTCATGACAAGGCAAAGTCCCTTCCCACAGCAAAATGCATGTTTCCAGAAAATCATGTTTGAAGTGGGTCATTTTTACATAAATTAAAGGCTGTAGACAACATTTGTATTTGCTGTACTTTCTTCGTAAATGAACATGTTTTGGGGGCTAGTAATTTATATCACATGTTCCAACTGTTCTGTGTAATGTTTGGTTTCCACAGGTGCCAGGTTAACAACAACAAAAAAAGCTGTTCACTTTAACCACTGAGGTGTAGTTCACAAAATAGTGCATACAACCCATCGGTCACAGGCTGTGTCATGGGAAAGAAATTACACACATGTGCCTGCGTAACTGGGCGTATGCATGAGGACAAGAGCAGCTACTTTGTTTCTGCTATTGAGTCAAACAAAAGCAACTCATCTACTTTTTAGAGTGTAGTGACCTCTATCACTTCCCAATGTGAAGAGCAACTGAATGATCTGGTCGATGTGGCTGATGTATTCAATGACAACTTCTCGACACATGGTCAGCGCATGGCCGAGAATATTCAGTCAAGTGTTGCTTTATGGGGATGATAAGTACCAATGTTCATGCTGCGGCTCACTACAACTTGGAGGAGTTTGTTTTTCCTGACATTACTGACGAATTTGTTAAGAAACAGATTAGTTCAAAGCCTATCAGGAAAGCAACCCGTCTCTTTTTGAAAACAGTCTTTTTGACCCTGTACAGTGTTATCCTCTGCTTTAGTAACATGATTCATGTAGTTTGCCTGTTTTGCACTCCATCAAGTGACCAGTGCAATATGGAATCCTTTGTTGTTTTTTAGCCATGTTTATGTCCTGTTTACTTGGATTTTTTTCATAAGTTGTGAAACGTCAGTAAGGAAGTATTCTACTAGGCTAAAAAATCATAGGGGTACTATCAAAAGGGATAATCTCAAAAGTTAATTAAATAAAAAATGGATGCCTGGTTAATGATGATGACACCAAGTAAACCTTATATATATTCAGTCAAATACAAAGTTTCAAGTACTAATTCTAAACACTGCAATTGAGTCCATTGATCTAATTCTGAATAACTCTACATGTAATTTTGTATATTATTATAGAAAATCATGCTAGGGAGTTCAGGTTTATGTGTGCTGTACATGTATGTGTACTTGTAAACTGTCATTTTGTACAGTTAGTACAAACCAACTTCACACATTTCATACACAAAGCGGCTGAAATCTTTACAGTCCAGTGCACATGGGAATATGTGGTTTAAGGTCCAGGACCCCGCCACAGTATCCATGCAACAAATCCTTTGTAAGTCAATTCAGCCACACAATGGAGACTACAACAGTACACAGATGTTATTGCCTACAGTCATTAACAAGGAGCGATTTTTGTAGATGTTGAAAAAAAAAACATTTGATGACACATCAGAGCCGGAATGGATCATAGGTTACAGTCGAGTCGAGTCGAGTCATTTTAAAGAAGTGACTCGAGTCGAGTCGAGTCATTTTAAAGAAGTGACTCGAGTCGAGTCGAGTCATTAGGTCCAAAGGTTGAGTCGAGTCGAGTCAAGTCAAATATTTAGCTCGAGTCAATTCGAGTCGCGAATATTTGAACACTATATACCAACATTTATAAAAGGAGGCCATAAGTTTAGCCAGTGTTCGAATCCAAGAGCTTTATAAGAAATCGCCCAAAGCCAACGATGAAACAGCGAATTAGAAATTTGTTTAAAAATCTGGTTCCTAGATAGCATTTTGTGCGTTCTAGAACCATGAGGTGGGAGTCTGTGACACGTTATATGTGTACATGACTGCTATTCACAAATCGAAGCAAGCACAAAATTTGCACCGTAAGTCATTGCAAATACTTTTCGCAAAGTTGTGCTTTTATTTTTGAGACTAGAGTCTTATTAGCATTCGCTCGAGTCGAGTCGAGTCTTTTGATGAGGGACTCGAGTCGAGTCGAGTCGAGTCATTAGCTCGCAGTGACTCGAGTCGAGTCGAGTCATTTACCCTTAGGGACTCGAGTCGAGTCGAGTCACCAAAAATTGTGACTCGAGTCGAGTCAATGACTCAAGTCATTACAACTCTGCCTCTAGAAAGCAAAAAGACACAAACAAAGTTATTGATCCCACATGACTTATCTCTCCCATGTATATTGCAGGAGCAATTGTAACAATTTTGCTCAAATGAATACAGCCAGATGAGTCCTTTTAAATGTAAATTAAGGGTGTTCTTCCTGTATTTTTTTAAGAGGATTTCTTTTATCGGGGAGGAGAGGGGTATAGTCCAGCGGATATATGAAAAAATTGTGTGCACTTTTGCATGGAAGCATAAAACTTGGCACAGATGTTTATATTCATGCGAGAAAATGTTGTAGATGTAGAGCCATCACAAATTTACCCTTTTAGGGGCGTGGCATCCATTTAAAAAAGGGGGTGGGACTTGTCGTGCCTGCAGTGACAACGGTTGTTCCCACTTGTCACAAAAGCAGGAAACTTCACAAAGACATAATTATATAGATTATAAGTGTTTTCCACATTTGGAGCCACCACAAAAGTACCTTTTTGGGGGTGTGGCAGCCATTTTAAAAAAGGGGGGTAATTATAATGCCCACATTGGAAAAAATTGTTTCCATATTTCATGAAAAAATTAAACGTCCCACAGACAATTATATTCATTAAAACAAAAAATCCAGATCTGGAGCCATCTCGAACGCACCCTTTTAGGGGCGTGGCAACCATATTAGAAAAAAAGGGGGCGGGGTTTCATTATGCCCACCATGGAAATATTGTTCCCACATTCATAGAGAAATGGAACTTTGCACAGACATTGACATTCATGAGGAAAAATATTCAAGACGTGCAGCCATATTCAAAAAAAAGGGGCGGGGTTCTCATTATGCCCACCATGGGAAAAAATGTGCCCACATCTCATAAACGAATGAAGCTAATTCCCACAGACATTAATATTCAAGAGAAAAAATTCAGACGTGGAGCCATCGCAAACACACCCTTTTAGGGGCGTGGCAACCATAGTAAAATGGGGGGGGGGTAGTCATGATGCCCCTATAAAAAAAAATGTGCCTACCTTTTATAAATGGATGAAACTCCACACGGACAATACATTCATGAAAATCTTTCTTTTTTCGAATGTGAAGCCATCACAAACTTACCCGTTTAGAGGCGCGGCATCCATTTTCAAAATGGGGGGGGGGAGGACTCCATATGCCCACAGTATTTCATTAAAAACAGTATTTCATTAAAAACAAAAAATCTTAACTAAGGGCCAAAAATGTACATCTTGCTGAGTAAATCCAAACAGATTGAGGTACAAGATTTTCCTGGTCATTTTTTTGGGGGGAGGGGGGCGTGGAGAGTAGGTTGGCTTGGTGACAAGTTCATTTCACATTTCTCTTAACTGGTTACATCAATGAATTGCTGTGATGCCGATTGTTTACAAATGTCTAAACATTATACTCATGTGAAATATACAACCAAATCCTTGTGCCCCCACACTCCTCCAAAAATAATACTCAACTAGACTTATGTTTGTAGGCAAACACAGGGCTGTTTCGGTTACTTTTTGTGACATGTGACATGTAAAGTTTCAACTAGTTCCATCCAGGCAGGATGTGTAGTTCTGTTTATAATAAATTGTGTCATATAATATGTGATTTCATTCTCATTGGGCTTTGAATTATGATGTCACATTTCACGTGATGATGTCATAATGACGTCACATCAATTTGCATCTATAACTATAATTTATTTGGAAATAACAACTTAGCCAGAGCATACATCGTTGAAAGCAAGTTCACACCTTTGTCCAATTTTAAATTACAAGGCACTTCCGGTTTCAACCGGAAGGAAGTGTCACATGATTTTGCACATAATATCAAAAATGAAGACCTTGGATTATTATATCAATTCCCGCAAAAGTCATGTTCAGGTCTCTCACAGTTGATTTTAAAGTGATTTTCAAAGATTAAATCTATTCATCTTTAACGTGACGTCATGTGACCCATGATGACGTCATCATGACGTCACTTCATTTTTTTATTATCTATAACACATCCCGGTCTAGGTAACTACCAACTTTTAACCCAATCGGGCATGTTGTTCTGTAGATATAGGCCTTCAAAGTATGCACTTTTAATATGACGTCACTTGTCACGTGATGACGTCATCATAACGTCATTTAAATTTCATCTATAACACATCCCGGTTTACGTACGTACCAAGTTTTAACCCAATCGGACCTGTTGTCATGGCAATATGCACCTATATTGTGACGTCACGTGACTCGTGATGACGTCACGATGACTTCAATGTTCGGCACACATCTGTGGATGGTGGTCTAAGTGTGTGCCAGGTATAAAGGCAATCGGATTGATTTTAGTGCCCAAAGCAGTGGCAGATCCAGGAATTTTCGCAGGGGGGGGGGGTTTCATCAGCCAAAAAATCTGAAAATGTACACACGTTTTTTTCCGGACACTTGGCCTCCGTAAAATCAAAAACTGGGGGGGGGGGGGGCTGTTCAAATTCGACGATTATTAACACTCATTACAGAATGGTGTACCGTATTTTGAACAGGCGGACATTAGACCAGTATAATTTTTGGGGGGTGTCACAACAGGGGGGGGGGGGGGGGGGGGTTTCGACTTATTTTTTAGGAATTTGTATGAGAATTTTTTTTTGGGGGGGGGACA